TTAAAGAAAGGAGATGACTACGCTACAACCATATCTTGGATAAGGGCGAAGATATCCTTTGCCATTCTACGTTCAGCTTTGCTGTGTCTCAGAGGAACCAGGAGAAAGAGAAGAGTAGCCAATATATCTGACACTGACATTACATCGGAAAGTGCGCAAGCCAGAATTTAAGTAGTCAATTTTTTATTATGTAGCTTAGTTTACTGAATCTTTCTTTTTTTTTTTAGAGAATTGCTTTTTGTGAAATATTTTTAAGGAAAACTTATTATATTATTATTAAGGACGTCGATCATGTATCGTCAATTTATTTGCTGTTCTGCTGAATGAAGCTGAAGCAAAATAATGCAGACATAAGATGAATTCTGCTACTCTGTAGAACAGTTGTTAATACCGAAGTGATTCAAGACTTCTCTCAGCTAGAGACTTTTTAAACTTGTTTTAATGTTTATATCTTAATTTGTCTTAATTTTGTTTGTTATCCTGTATTTTTACTGATTTTATGAAATAAAATTATCACATTTATTATAAATAATAATAATAGTAATATTAATAATAACTTTATTTTTGTGTCAAAGTACTTTAGCATACCTGCTAATTGGAGAAACAATAACAAAGCAAAAATAATACCACTAAATATTAACTAAATATTAAATAAAATTCTAAGATGCTTATGCAAAAATACCAATACTATACTATTAATTAAGAAAGATATAAAAAATATCCCGATACTAAAAATAGGAGTGGAAAAGACCAGACCCGAGAGAGCGGCGGAAATCGAGCCCAGGGAAAACACTGCGCTGGAAAATCTCTTGAACAAGAAGGGACACGTAGTAAGATTTTAGTAGGCTCTTTAGAGTGGCAATGTAACCCCACATTGCAGACTTGTTTGTAATGATAATTTAACTCAGAGGAGTGCAGTTTAGTCTGAACTTAGACGCGCGATTTTAAAATCGGTCGAGCTTGTAGTGTGATTCGTCATTGCGCTGGTGAGAGCCACTCAGATTGCAAGAATCACCAGTGATTTCATAATGGATGTATAGAAAGGTTTAATTTGACTATTTTGTTTCATTCTTATTTTGCAGAGCAAACCAAGTTCTTGCCAGACGATCCCTTTTCACTGACGCTACTATCTAGATGACTAAAAATTTTATTGTGGCTTTTTTATTTATTGTGAAAGATTATGAGATCGCGCTTGTGGTTGTGAAAATTGTATATAGTTTGTATTTTTTTAACTATAGTTCATAAAATTTAAGTATTTATACGAGTGGTTGTGGTCCAATAACGCAGTAGCTGTGTGACTAAAAACAAAATGATAAATTGGTTGAAGAAAGTTTGATCCATTTTAAAGAAACGTATTTTAATCTTGTACAGTTTTAAAGGCAGTTGGTTTTGTTCCTCAAAACCAGTCTGAACAGAGCATCCATGCACAAAAAAACGAACTGCTAAACGAAATTGTTTGGGATTAGTTATGTGTTCCTAATTATTTGATGCCTCGTAAAAGTTTTGCTGGGTAAACAATGACAGTCCTCTAGGAATAAACTGTTTCACAAGAACCTTTGGAGAATTCCAATAAAGCGAAGGGCAGTAAAACTTAACCATATAGAGCTCTCCGGAAGCGCGTTACCGCAACCTGGAAGCTTGCTGGCCGTTGCTAAGTAAAGCTAGGCGAATAAAGATGGCGTAAATCGATGCACTCGAAATGAATTGAGAAGTTTCATTAATATAATATATTAAAAGCAGAACCTGTGTTGAAACGCTTTTTTTTAAAGAGTGGACCATGGAAGGTTTCAGAAGTCCACTGAGTGACTGCAGCTGGCGAATGTGACCTTGAAGGGCTGTTAAAAAAAAAGTGAGAAAGGGTAAAAGGATTCGCTCAAAAACCGTGTTACTATTATTGGTGGCTTGAAAAAGGTAACAATTTCGCATTTTGTCCACCAAAAGATATATACGGAAACACGATATTTCAGATTCTCAGATGTGTTAAACAATCTGACTTCATTTTTATCGAAAAGTAGAATTGCCGGAATCTTTAACTGATTAAAAGGTACCTTTTCTGCACTTGTCGTAACGTAACTTTTTAGAGCACAAAAAGCCTATTTTCGCGCTTTTGACGATAAAAAATCCAAAAGCCAGAAAACGACAGCATTTTTTTAAATAGATGTGCCTTTTTCAAATTTCCACCTTGTCAATTAAAAAATTCACGAAAAAAGTAACAATTTCGATTTTTGTCCACTAAAATATATATCCAGAAACACGATATTTCAGATTCTCAGCTATTTTAAACAATCAGAGTTCATTTTTTTTTAATTGAAAAGTAGAATTGCCGGAGTCTTCTACTGATTTTGAAGGCCCATCTTTTTAATATGGGGTACTATTGGCAGCTCTTTGATTTTAGACACTAATGGCCGATTTTCTATTTGCACATGAGTGGATGTGAGATGCAGCAGCAGTAGCCACATGCAGTGTAAACTGCCTATTTTTATAATCGTTCGAAGAGGCTCGCTGTAGCTATTAGACTACACTGATTTCTTGCTTTTTTGCCCAGCTTTCAGCCAACAGGAGTGTTTTAAGCCGAGCTTAAGTAGTTATTTTTCGATTAATTTCTGAAAACTTGACCTCAGTTATACTGAGACGGCAGTGCAGTACTGATCAGAAGCAAGTAACCTTTTTGAAGTCTCCTCCATGATCGATCCCAAAATTTGACATCATAAAATAAATTGATTGTTGTGTACAACGTAAACGGGAAAAGAGCAAAATAAAAAGCAAAATGAAAAAAGGAAGGAATGAATTCCCTGTTGCAGTAGTGATAGCCATGCAAACAATTATTTAGGTCTGTCGACACTTGAAGTGACGTCTGGTGCAAAATGTACACACCTTGATTGAACTAGAGATCTGGCAGCAGACAAGCCAAGTAGTTAAATTATCAGTTGAGTGTTGTTCTGCATCAGAACATTCTTCGCCTTTGATCATGTGAGGGTGTAATCCTAACTTTTTCTAGAACAATGCGCGATTTCAACAATGCCGTACGTTGCTGAAAGATGTGCGGTTGAGTTTATTTAGTTGGACCATACCCGGAGTCCCCTCCCCTTTGTTTCAATGCGACTTATGATTCTGTTGAGCGCAGAAACCTAAATGGATGAATAGTACTGATGTTCGTTTAAACTGAACACAATTATTCAATTCTATGCGGGTCTGATGTCCGAAATCTGACTTGTCGAAAGGTTCCATGAGAGCAGCTGGCTACGAACAACTGTGGATGATATCACAAAAATGACAAAGTTACAAAAACGTCACTTAATCGATTAGCATTTCTTCACGTCAGTCATTAGACAAATGACTTCAAGATCTTCGATGTCACACATTTGCAACTCGTCTCCTTGTGTGTTTCATACATCTTACATTCCTAGGAATAAAACGCCTTCGAACTTTTAAGAAAGAGCTTCTCTGATTTTTTTTATTTCAAAGTAAGCTCATATATGATTGCAAAACAGGAAGAGTCCCTGGGAATTTTTAACTCTTTTCATAATATAGACAAGAATGTCCTAATCAGGTTCGAATTTATTGGGAAGACAAAAACATCTGTTCTGTTTGCGAATCAACCTTGGTACAATGTTTACAACTCTTTATCAGTTTAACGATAGATGTAACTTCAATGATAATTTAGTTATTGCTCGCTTACGTTTACAATTTCTGGTAGAAAATAACTTAAAATTATAACATATCATCTAATATTATATTTCACTTTTAGAATATCTGCATTTTTATCTTATTTTAATCTTCTGTCATTGATCTTATGATCCCTTCCAAATTTCTGGAATTTGGGGCTGCGTTATAAGGGCTATTTTCTCTGCTTGCGACACTCCCATCCTTAGCAGGAGAGAAGGTAAGTCTGTTTGCGTCTCTCTTCGGAACAGAAACACTATGGCAAGCAGACCAAAGGGATATGGAATGACAGCAGATTTAGCTCGAAAGGTAATCGGTTTTGTTACGTTGTCAAGCCAGATAATTTGAAGAACAGGCAGAGGTTAGTCTATTTCGAAAAGAGACTAGAGCACCAGACTACCTCACTGTGCTTACCACTGCCATTGAGTTCTGTCGTCTGGACGAATGCAAATAATTGTTCTTTAATGACAACAGTTTTCTTTTAAGGTTACCCAAACCTTTTCACCTAATGTAACGATTCGAAATGATTTGCAAAGTTTACAATTAAAATGGTTTCTCAATTTTTTTAATTTTTGTTTTTTTTTTTCGCATTAACTCCCTCGGCTCTCCTGTATCATCTGGAGTTTTTTTCGTCGACGGAATCGGCACTTAAATTGGCAGTTTTATTTGCAAGTCATCGGTATAAATCACCTTGTTGTCATTACAGTGAATTTTCGCTTTCTTGGCTTAAAACAAGACTTGCGTTTTAAACAGATATATTCTCTGAACTTGAGAAGTAAACTTTCGCAGATGGGGTAATTCAACCGTGATCGCACAAAAGGAAATATAAATTCTTGAATATCCTAGTTTTATTAGACCTATCCAGAACATAGATACAAAAAGGGTGGACAATCTTTTGTTTGATTTAGATAATAGCGCAAAATTAATAATAGCCGAAAAAAAAAAGATTAATATGATGGCTGTATAAAGTGACAGACTTCAGAAAAACGCCAACAGATATCTTTAGCGAGGTCAATTGACAGGGTCACGCTCTAAGAACTATTTGGCAACGCAGGCTGTATTCTGAGAGCATCGAGTATTGAGCATTGAGCGAGGGGAGGGGAGGGGAGGGGGGCCAATGGGACCTCAAGATACCATTACAACGAGCTAAATTTTCGAAAATTTAGTCCAAACGCGGACAATGAGGGTCACCGATTAGTTCACAAAACTGCACTGAACGAGAAACAACGACAGCCAGGAATACATTGGGCTCCTACGACAACACGAATATTTTCCGGCATTCAGCCGCCCACTGAAGCTTTCACAGAAACATCACACAGCGCATGAGATAACCAAAACTGATCGACACTGCAACTCTTCAAATTCCATCCCCTTCGCAAAGCAAGGAATTGCCGCCCTTTCTCTCCTCTTTCCTCTTTGAAGTATGCTTATTTTATAGAAGAAAGAAGAAGCTTTTTGGTTCGCTTTCTATACAGCACTCGATGGGTGAATACAACTAATATATTGTGATTTTTTATTTGTCGGGACGTCAAGTCCGTCAAGGGGTCACACAAATTCCCATTTATACGTATCATTTAACGATTCAAGGTTTTTTCTTTACGCAATTCTTTGCTCTAGCATATCAAGAGCTTCTTGGGATTGTCTTTAATTTAAGCCTTATTTGCCTTTTTTCTGAGAACCACCCTAAGGTGTATACTCTAAACTCCAGGGACTGGAGTTTTTTTCTCTTCCAACACAAGATTAGCTTTTCCCGATGCACAATTCAATCAATTATGTAAAGGAATTCTGAACTATCTGTGGAAGCAGTTTGGAGGAAGGTGTCTGTGATATTAGTATAAATATCTCATGATCAAAAAAGAACCCAGCTGTTTTCATGAATATTAATTTTAAAGCTTTTCTATTAAGCCTAACCCGCGAATTCCCAAGATCTGGTTGTTCAAGAGGTTACAAGAATTAATTTGGTTTTGTCTATCAAGATAACAACTTCTACTTGTTAAGTTTGAGTATTTTTATTACCTGTTTGCTGGATAATATAAGTATATTAATTAGGAGAAGTTACCTGAGAGTTAAGGGATTAGTCATTTACCATCACTGATCTTTTACTTGTTTCAGGAATCTAAAGGTTTTTTTTTTTTTTTTTTTTTTTATGGCAGGCCGCTGCCAAGTACGATTGTGGTCAAGAAGCAAATGCTATAGAGTGGATTGAGTCTGTGCTGGGTAGAAATGTGTTTGATGGTAAAAGTGGACCAGATCATGTCCAGGAGGTGTTGAAGGATGGAAGAGTCCTTGTCGAGTTAGTAATGAAGTTTACTACAATGTTATTTCTCCACCAGTTCCAAACTTGTGAATGAAAATTTATCCTTTATTAATAGGTATGGATATCAAAGACTATTCAGATGGGGGTGGGGTGGGTGGGGGGAGATTGAGGATCAGCAAAAGTTTTGGGGATTTCAGTTTTGACCCTTTAACCCTGATGAGCATCTTATTTCTCTTATTAATATCACCCCTCATTCAAACAATGAGGTCATGAGAATGAAAGAAATGATCATGACAAACTAAAGAAGCTCTTGATTGTTAGACAAATTCTCCTTGTAAGTATACCATGAGAATTGTACAGAGAACAGTATGGAGAACTTGGATCTTGATGTCAGCTAGGGTGTAAAAGGGTAATGATATGTCATAATAAACAGCTGTAATGCCATTCACATAGCCTGTGGTTGTTATCATGCTCTTGAAAGTCAAGTTGTTGCAATAATTCAATAATTTGGCAGAAGAAATGTATTTTTAATACAAGTTCATTTTATATGATTTAAAGAGCATGAGTTGATACTGTTCAGCATTATTTTTCCATTGTATTAAACCTGTCTTGAATTTTGAGAAGTGCTGAAGTTTTCCACCTAGGAGGTAGATAGTCAGGTTACTTTTTGGCGTTTACTCTATTAGGGATGTCATATGGGCCTATACATGGTTAAAGCACTGGTTCTGAATTCTGGGCTTATTATTATGATTGTCTTCATACGTAGCACAATTTTCCATCATATAGCGTCTGTCTCAGGAGTTTGAGTGAGGGCATCAATCAACCCCATTTTAGTTAGAAATTGTTGATGTTGTTCTGGGTTTAGAGCACTTAAGCCGGAATCCAATGTTTTTTCTTGCAGACTGGCTAATGCACTTCGCACTGCAGACTCCTGTAATAGTTTGGGTCCTGAGGTGAAATGCAATACAAGTAGTATGCCCTTCAAACAGGTTTGTTTAGATGATAAAAATACTGTGAAACTGTTTAGAAGCAGCAAAAAGAATCTTCAGGAGATGGTAACCTTTTCTGAATCTCAGTGAGCAAAAACATTAATTTCAATAAATGGTCCCTCAACAAAGCTAACTGCCACGAGCTTAACAAGCTCTTCTGGACAGCAGTCACTCTAACAAGGGCAAGCTCATATGAAACATTTTGTCAATATTAAAACTGCCATTTTCGAGTCAGCGAGCAAATTTGTAGCCATTGTTGTCCAGTTCTCTATTCTGAGTTGTCTGTGTCCCCCCTATCAACCAAAATTTTCAACTCGAGCTACTATTCACAACAGGCAGACAAGGTATAGAAACAGCCTCAATATTCCACATTGTAGAATCACTGCTGGTCAACGCGCCTTTTATTACCATGGCATGAAAATATTGAATAACTTAAGCAGACCTAAGGGAATTAAATAACAAATACTAAAGCTTTTAAGAGACATTTAATCAAAGAACTGACTTGTGACATGATCTGGGTTAGATGAAAATCATTGCATATAGTTATTAGTTATCCTTCTAGATAGTTTTTACATAGTTTTTTATCAGTTAGTGAATGTAATTAATTTTTTCAGTTATCTATTTAATTTTCTTTTTGATATTGAGGCTGAAAAGCAGGTTTTTAGGGATGCTCAATAAAGTGTATGTATGTAAGTTGATAGTTGCCTGGAATGGGGGGGGGGCATGGTAGGTTTAGGGGGAATTTGTCAGCCATGTGGGGACAGTGGCTAGATAGAGAGAAAACTGCTGGATATCCCAAGCACCCACCTTCCATTTAACCCTTTATATAACTCCTTAATGAGTACCAAGATCGAATTTCTCATTGCAATATCAATTGAATTCAAAGCAGACAAGTGATGAGAATAATGAAAAATACCATCAGGGGATTATTAGTTGACTCAAAACTGTATTGTCAGAACTGTAACATTAACAGAATGAGTACTAAGACAGACAGTAAGGAGAAATACTTATCAGATCTCAGGAGTAAAAGGTGAGACAGTTGTAAACTGGTAGCTTCCTTTAATATTGATTTTCTTTCCAGATGGAAAATATTGGAAAGTATTTAGAGTTCTGCTCAAAGATGTTGGGAGTGGAAGCTGGTGATTCCTTCCAGACAGTAGACCTGTATGAAAAGCAAAACATGGCTAATGTAAGCTGTTTTAGTTTATAACAATTACTGTTGTTATTTGAGTTATGTTGGATATGTCTAAATGCAAGTCATAAGACTGGAGACAAGGATGATAAGTTTAGGCTTACCTTGCTAGTTAATTGACCACTACCTCAAAGTATTTCCTCTTGATATTTACCAGCATGGGCACCAATATGATAAAGCTTAATTGTTTCAGATGAATGTTATTACCATGGCTACATGACATTTCTAATGATGGTCAGATATATTATTTTCTAATTGCTGGCCTGAATATCTTATTATCTTTACTTCCCTTTGGTGTAATGTCTTTATTCTTTGCCACATTATGGAGATAATATTTCCTGACATTTTGAAACAGTAAAGAATCAAGATGGTTCTGATATGTCTGGCCACAATATTTACATATGTAATTTTTCTTAATATGTTTGATTAGCTCTTCAGTCCTAATCGAGTGTAAAATAAGTGGGATATTTAACAGGAACTAAAGTTTAGAGAACTGAGCCAATTTTTAAAATAGATAACCATGCACAGGGAATGCAAAAAAATCTGTGGTTAATTTTACAGATTTTTTCATGCTGATGTGATATTAGCAAGCCTCATGCTCACAGCAACTGAAAAGATGTGTTCATTTACTTCCAAGTATATACTAAGGCCCATCTTGCACGGAGTCTTATAACTCTGGGAGCTTCCTTATTAAGCATTGTAATTCAAAGACTATTTTAATGTTCTATCAATGTCTTAAATATCAGTTATTAGACCATGCAGTTAACTAATTTAAAGGGTGTGGGTAAGGGTTTATTTGTACAATAAACAAATTAACAGAACTTAGTATCTCGGTTGATTTATATATTTTAATTAACTTGAATTAACAGGATCGTAAATTTCTTGCAGGTCATTACGCAGATAAATGCAGTAGGACGAAAGGTAATTATAATAATGATTTAATTATTTCATGGTTTTCAGTTTCTGGGAGATTTGAATTCATTGATTCATGATAAATTATATAGTACGCTTCTTGAATGATTTTCATCACTTGATCAAAGGCCATGATTATTGTTGCATTCTAAATTCACTCAACAACATGAAGTTTATCAGACCACTTTCTACTGATCTCCTTTATGGTAGGAAAATAATGAAATACAAAATCCAAGATCTTTCAGGAATAATTTTGATTATTTCTGTTGTGTGATAATGAACGGCGTGCATCTTATTGTAACATCCAGTCAAACATCTCAGTATGTAACTGAGACTCATACTCACTCGTACATTCATGTGTATATACCCTGGGCAGGCTCAAGCAAAAGGTTTAAGTGTTCGACAGTTAGGACCCAAGGAGGCCACTGAAAACAAACGCGACTTCTCAGAAGAGCAACTCAAGGAAGGAAAGAATGTAATTGGGCTCCAAATGGGAACCAACAAACTTGCCTCACAAGCTGGAGAGCATTTTGGTCGTCCCAGGCAGGTTGCTGGGCATGATGCCTACAATTAAGATTCTGGCAGACACTTAGCTAAAAGGACAGTTAATTGTTGCAGTCTCTGAAACTCTTTATTTTGGTTGAGTAAATTTGACTAATCTGTGAAGATGAGAGTAAGATGAAAAGACCACAAATTATTGTTCAGTTTGATTGAAACTTGATGAATAATGTTTCATGTTACAATAACTTAATTAGTATCTTTTAAACTTAATTTCCTTACTTTGTTCAGAAAAGTTAGAATTAATAGTCAGTTTAAAACATAACTGATCGTTGTTTCAAAATTATGTGAACTCCGTGTTTAATTACTGATGACTGTAACTCAGATTCTTGTTTTTATCATCATTACAATCCAGCTCTGTCTTTATTTTACAAGCAGTCATTTTATAGAAGATTTTGATTGTTTTGCTTTTGAAAACTTATTTTATGTGGCTTGTAAAAGTGTTACTACCATTTTATTGTTTAAAATAGTCTTAAACCCAACCCTGTAACGATCCCAGTTAAGCAATTAACATGTAACCTCTCCTTATGATTTCCATACATTATTCAGCAAAGAGATAATGAGAATACTCAAACTTATCAGATGGAGTTTTTTTCTTGATGTAAAACCAAATTCTTGTACCTGATTAACAAGGAAATGTGTAGCAGTTACAGGGGAGAATTCACGATCTGATCTTGGGAGTACTGGGTGCAATATTGCCTATTTGGTGAATTAATAAATCTGCATTTAAACTTTTAATCCATTTTGTATCCTGTACAATTTGTATTGTATTGTTAACTTGTTCTTTTGTCAAAGGTCTTAAAACTCTTTTAAACAGATCCTAGCTGTCATGAATAGTTTTCTTTTTCTCCTTGACAGTACTCGAGATCCTATGTAAGAGGAGAGGGAAAATCCTGGAAATTATAATAGTTTAATAAGTCACTGAGTTTTTTTTTTTTTTTGTGATACGGTTGATGCACATTAAGGTTAAAAAGTCATTATAGTAAATAATGATGATAGCCATCTAATGTGAGCTAGCTGGCACCATAGTTTTGGATCAGGAGAGTATGGTTGGATGAGTAGTACTGGTTTGACAAGTAATCTTAGATTTCTGACAGCCAGTTAGCTGTTGAGAAAAGGCCATTGCTAAATTCACCAGAGATAAATTTAGCTAGTATAACCATTCAAGAATACTTAGAATACTCTCAGAAACAAACCAAGGACATTTGCTGTTAAAATTTTAGAAATAATTTTGTGTTAAGTGAAATAAATTGCATTTGTACATTAAGTTTTCATGTGACAATCTAGTCTGGGAATCAATTCCTTTAGAATCACTTGTCCATTTCTTAACACTCAGTCATAAAAGCAGCTCATGAATCGATCACTTCATCAACCAATTTTGGTAAGTTCACATTTTATAGTCATTTTATGAACTACATGGGATTTACTTGGGATAATTTTCATTAACTTAAATGCAGGCTAGTATGTTCTATAACTGAAAAAAAAAAAAAAAAAAAAAAAAGAGAAAAAACCCTCAAGACTTGTTAAAAGGGAGTGGGTTGAACTAAAAACATGGGGCACCAATTGAAAATTAATGACTGATGTGGAGGTTGTGGCAAGAGTTATTTCAACATTGAGCCATATGCTCAGTTTAACTTAACAGAATTGGATTGTAAAGGAAATCAAGGGATTGACGATGCCAGTGAATTAAGGGATATTTGGTAGTGGGTAGTTTACTGGCAGTTGGAATATGTGCAGGTATTCTTAAAGGAAATTAATGTTTCCCTTGGCAGACCTTTTTGTAACAATTGATTCCAATTCACTTTCTTGTTACACTCATGTGATCAAAACTGACAATGGTGTTTTTTGTTGGATTTCTGAGCAGCTTTTTTAATTAAAGGAACTTGCAAACCTGCAGATATGTATTTTGTCTCCTCAGGCTGGAGCAAAGGGCTTAGCAGTACCTTCTCTGGGCCCAAAAGAGGCTGTAGCTAATGTGCGGGAATTTACTGAAGAGCAGCTCAAGCAGGGCCAGAATGTTATTGGCCTCCAGATGGGATCCAATAAAGGTGCCTCACAGTCAGGTGACCATTATGGTCGTGCTAGGCAGATTGCTGGTGACACGGCGTATAATTAATGAGCCATATGGAACCCAGGAAAGTTTACAAAGCACTGACAGAAATCAATCTTGGACCCTGATCACTATATTGGTGGAATATTCAATAACATGTTGCAATCATGACATTTAAAGGACAAAATATGTCATGATGTATCACTAGTTTCCCTTTCTGTTGTGACCAAGAAGATGCCAACTTGCTAGTAACTGATATAGATTGAAGAACCTCACATGTTTACATAAAATTTCCAAGTTTCTCAACAAATATGCATGATTGATTATTTGTTTGTCTAGGAAGCTTTATAGAAGTTAGGCAAGTTTTATAATCCTGCCCTCTTACTGTGGTAGTGCTATGTAACATGTCTCTCATGTCTTTTTCTTATTTTCGAAGCCTCTTTAACTTCTCAACTGCAGACAAAAGGTGATATTGTACACTGTATGTTTTTTGGGCTGTGTTTATGAAGAAGGAAATTTATGGGGAAAATTACTTCTCCACTTTTGAAAGTGCATCTGTAATCCTTTATTGACGACTTGCGATGCTATGAAATCAAGCTAGAACTTTCAAGAGAAATTATAATACATTTAACAATAACATAATTTAGCAATAACATCATGATTTGCTATAATCACCCTACCTGAGTTATCGTAGTATAGAAACGTTCTATTGGTTAATTGTTGATGGAAAAATCTGTTTACAGTGGTGATCAATCCCATCAATTACTCAGAGAAGTAAAAAAAAAAAAAAAAAAAAACGATAATCATGTATAGAATTCTGGAGAAATCATTCCTGATAACATAACTTTTTTCGGTTAGTTCAAATGGGTCGCTGACTTCCTAGTTGGTTAGAATTCTTGAAATAATTTGCATTTAATGAGAGACATTTTTGCCATTTCTTAGCAAATTGTTCAATGGTTTTCTAACAGAAATTTTTTGCCCCCAATATGGTCATAACTGAAATTAAGGGAATTTATATCCAGGGGGATTGCATCTAAATGATAATTTTTACCAAGTGGGTATAAGAAACAAATACACCCTGAACAGTACTGATTAAATGAAGGGACGTAAAAGAAAAGGTCTTTGTTTCATGTGACCGTCATTATTTACAACAATTTGCCTATTGATCAAAACACCCCTTGAAGGTCTAATTAAATCGTTATTGCTGAATATTTCGGGTCATTTGCTATATTCATTTGTGGAGGAAGTCTTGGAATTGAAGTGATCTGTTGAGTTCCCTTTCTAGAACCATCCGTCACATATGTACATAAATCTTTTAAAATACCTAACGGAAATGTTTGAAATGCATGGGACAATCATTGAGGCGTTGCATTATAAGTCTGATGACGTAAGCAGCATAATTTGGGAGTCAATTTTCGCTCGTGCTTAATATAAGGCCACCAGAATATTCTCAGTATTAACTTTCCAAGCGTCTACAGAAACAGCCTTCTCAGACGTTCACTGCTAAGGAACTCACCAGAATGGCTTCTCGACCCAAAGGATTTGGTATGACCGCTGAATTGCAACGAAAGGTATATGCTAAAAAGTACTGAACTGCTCATTGCATTTTGCTCGTACTCCATTTACGTGTGGAATTTTGGTTTCGACACTTATTTTGAAGGATGCTAATCCTTTGTAATGCCAACTTGCCATTTTTCGAAGATAGTTTCTTTCCAGTGAGACAAAGAAACGATGATTTTTAAATTTGTGTCAAAACCTTCCTTTTTCAGTCGCTATCTGCGGTTTATTGCTCGATTAAATATTTTAGATGGTTATGGGTGCGGTGCGGGCGATCTTGCGGACTTTCGGTTCGTATTGTAATTTTTTGCATTTATGGTCACATTCCGTTGTGGAATCGTTGATATAGTCTATCTTGGTGGCATTTGATTATTTCCAAAGGGTAGGATTTAACGCAAATGAAGTCGTGCAACGTGGTAATTTTGTTGCCGTCCCACGTCGGTACTATCTACAAATAATAAGCGACGGGGGATCATTTGCTTTTTCATCTTCGGCTGTGTGAAAAAAAGTTATTACCGATTAATTACTGCTTTAGTGTTTCACTTACTTCTTCGAACTTGTTCTACCGCTCGAAAAATTCGAAAGATTGATTACAAATCACCCTTAGCTTAACCCAAACAATATTCCATCGTATCTTCCTACCCTTGTGGAGAATCGGTGTTCTTGTTGATGTTTACCCTCTTAGCTTTATTGTTCAAAACAAATATAAAGCATAGTAGAGCGGAATTTCTTGGCTAATTTCAAACTCCCAAGAGCTTTCTCTGTCAGTGTTCGGATGCTTGCCTGCCTCCATGGTTTATCTCGCACGGAATGCGACAATGTAAATTCATATGGCAGTCGTTCAACAGCTGTCACGACTCGTGTCACACAATTATTTCATTCGTTGGTTTATACCTTGTAATTTAAATCTACGTAGCAGTGAAGAACTTGATTGTTAGTTGTACCACCCCATCTTTCAAAAGTGAATCAAGGGTTTAATCGGACAAAGCATCTTGTATCCTGAAAAATAAAAAAAAATTGAATAAACAGTTGTCACGCATTCTGAACATCTCCGAGCAAACGTATGACAAAAACCAGTGGAAAAAGTTGCCTTTGACTCAAATCAAATGAGATATTTTACGTACTAATCTTGTATACAAATTAGACATAATCTCCTTTTAACGCATGCATTGCTTTTATAAAATATTAAAGGCTATTTAGTTATTTCAATCAACAAGGAACAGTGATTGACTAGTTGAAGTTTGCATTTGGAAAATGAAAACAGCACGCTTTTAAGGCTCTGTTTTCACTAGGACAAGTTTGACTAGTTTAAGTCGGAAAAGTCCGGAAGTTCAGTGAAAACAGCTTGTCCCAGGTTAAGCGAGTTAAAAAAAATGAAAAAAAAAAAAAAAAAAACCGTGTGGCGTTTCACAGCACAGTTATAATCGATTTGTGGGCCGTTGTAGTGTACTTGAAAGTCCATCCGTTTGATTCAAAGATGTGCTGGCCTGCCTCTACCAAAGGACAAAGCGGCAGTATGGAATTGTATACAAATTAGACATAATCTCCTTTTAACGCATGCATTGCTTTTATAAAATATTAAAGGCTATGCAGTTATTTCAGTCAACAACGAACAGTGATTGACTAGTTGAAGTTTGCATTTGGAAAATGAAAACAGAACGCTTTTAAGAAAATGAGAAAAAAAAAAAACAGCGTGGCGTTTCACAGCACAGTTATAATCGATTTGTGGGCCGTGGTGGTGTACTTGAAAGTCCATCCGTTTGATTCAAAGATGTGCTGGCCTGCCTCTACCAAAGGACAAAGCGGCAGTATGGAAAAGGAAAATCATAATTTACTCTTTTAATCGCCTTGTAATTCTTTATTACCCAGTTTTTGATAATTTCATGTCAACACCAATGCGACAGGGTTGTTTATTCTCACCGCATGTTTGCTGGATAGAGCGCTTTGCAACTGACTATTGTTAATCTCTCTAGAGCGCGGGAAAAAAGCGAACAACAAAGCCACGATTGGTTTTACAACTTTTCCAAGACAAATCAGTGAGCGACGTGAAGCATACCCATTTGTAATTTCGAATTATTCTCAAAACATTATTATTTTGATAAGCCTTTTAGGATAAGGAGAAAATATCTTTTAATGACTTCTAGGAGTTAAGGTTAGAGGTCAATCACATCACCAGGGTGCCTGATGTCTCGTAAGATTCTGAAAATAGGCGGTTTTAAATGAATAGAAAGGTCAAGAACCGGTGAAGAGCATTAAAGGAAAGTGAAAGCGTTGGATGTGCTGGATTTAATTTGCATAAGAGACAATTAGAGTAGAGCCATTATAAATAATTCTGATATTTGATCTTGACACATCAAACATAGTGAATGGTTTTTTTTTAGAAAGGGATATTTTTAACTTTACCAGCCCTGATTCATTATTTAGATATATGTCACCAGTGTAATTACAGACTAGACGTCCTGAACTGGCAGTTACTTTCCCACGGAAATGGGTATCGTTTCTTTTCTCGAATAGGACACCCAAATAGCCCATTTCCCCAGTTACCCTTGGCCTCTTTTTCAAAACGAGGCCTGGTCCTCAACCATTCTTGTGAAAATGAGTCTAATTTGCATGTGAAGGAAAACTTATTATCGTGTGAAAGGATGAGCACTAAGACTCGTTTTGAAAATGAGGCCAAGGGTAATTTGGAATGGGCTATTGAGTTCCCTTTTCCGTGAAATGTTCTCCAATAAGAAATTAGTACCAACTGTTTGTCCTGCTCAACGTTTCTTCTACAGTGAAAGTTGCTCAGTTTGAGAATCTTTTGCTCATCAGTGGAAATAGATGAAATCCGCTCTACCTTGTAAAACGCAGCTGTTTCTTCTTTTTTTTTTTTTTTTTTTGCCAATCGGCATTTTGGTTGATTATGTTTACCAAGTAGTTTCCGTAAGACGTAGTTCAGGTAGAAGTAATACAGTTGAACCTGTATTAGTCGTTCACCCACGGGGAATGGCAAGGTGAACGCAGGTTTCACGGAATTGACGTTTCATAAAAAAAGACGATTAAAAAAATGCCATTCTATGCCGTAACTGACCACTTCATGTACAAACATCCGCTAAAAATACAACTAACATTGATTTCGGGAGATAAACATGGATTAAATTTTACTCGAAAGATTATTTGAGTGGTTGCGCATTAAGTGACAGTTCAATACAGGTGGATGACAATAGGGAAAGTCCGTTTGAAATCGTAAATTGGCCACCGTAACGATTACAAAAGCTGACGTTTCGAGCGTTAGCCCTTCGTCGCTCCGACGAAGGGCTAACGCTCGAAACGTCAGCCTTTGTAATCGTTACGGTGGCCAATTTACCACTTCAACTTTTTTGATATATCCAAATTGTTTCGTTACTCCCACCGACGCAGCCCCAAACAGTTTCTTTTGAAACTATCAGCTTTTATTCGTTTGAACTCGGTTAGGGGTGACCACGACCCCTTAATAGCGAAAATTACAAGAATCAGGGGGTAACTCGGGACTTTGAGAGCCGAACGCTAAGTACAGGGTGCAGCCTAATTCGATGCCGCTCAGTACAACTGTAACTACCAAAAAAAAAAAAAAAATAGATAGTCATGGATGCTCTCAATTTTCTGGCTGAGAATATCCAAACTGCTCTATGGTGCATGTTGAACCTAATAATTGGTTACAGTATAGCCTTGCAATTTTTTTCGTCCACTGAATGGACTTTGCCTTTCATCAAAGATCAGGGACACCTTTCATGGTCCAGAGGGTGTCTCATATAAAAGGGTTCCACTGTGTTTTGAACCGGATATGAAGAGTAGTAGAGATAAGTGTTAGAAACTACGGCCAGACATATTTCTTAATAGTTCCTGTTTATCAGATTGTAGGTCCTGCAGTAGTATTTGTCAAGGGAAGCGTATCTGGCGCGTGAAAATTCAACGGCAAGCGTTTCTTCGTAGTCGAGTAGGGACCTTAAGCAACCACGACGGCGACGGCAACGAGGACGTGGAGAAAAAAGAGATCTAATTGGCAGAACAATAGCCCAGCACGTGCATTTTGAAACGTTGTACATTTCTTAGCCGTCCTATGCAAGACGGCAAATTATTTTAATTTCCATTTGGAACTCAACGCTACTTTTATACGTCATGCTGAAGTTGAGCTGTGGCGCCGTATGAGACAGTACGCTCATGCAGCCATTTTTAAAATTCTAACTAAGAGTAGAAATTCATTTTTTAATCGAAGTCTTCCTTGGCGTTGCCGTCCTGACTGCTTAAAGTCCCTAATGACTGCGACCAACTTCTCACAGTGACAACGTCGCTGTATTTTCAACCTCCAACCAAAAGTTGGTGTGGTTCACTAATTCCTGCCAGCCAGCCAGCAATTCTGTAATTCTATATGTATTATATTTCTTCACCGAGCGAAAAATTTACTAACTTTCTTGTTCTGACCACAAATATTTTTTTATTGTAGAAAGATGCAAAATATGATTCAGATCTGGAGGTACAAATAAGAGAATGGATCAATGCAGTTCTAGGTGGACAAGTTCTTAAACCTGAGCCTGATCAAAAAGATTTCCATGAATCTCTGAAGAGTGGGGAAATCCTAGTCGAGTATGTTTGAAAGGATCCTATTCATTTTAGTTTGTAGCAGTCGTGCTATTATCTGAGAACCAAAACGATTTTTTTCATTCACAATGGATTATCCATTGTGGGCCCTTCGAGAAGCTGAATGCGGGATGCAGGGCAGTAGAGGCAGTTAATACTCAGAGTTTGTTCGAAAAAAAAGAAAAAAAAAAAAAGCGCAGCACACCGTCTGCTAGTGATTGTGCGCTGAAAAGTGAAACCTGATGAAAGTGAACCATTCTTAAGAAATGTGCATTATATCTCGTGACAGTCCCAGGAGACAGTGCAGTGCAAGACAATCAGTGGAAATATTCGATATTAATCGCTCTGTTTTACCTTGCAGTCTAGCAAATGCGCTGGGTGGAAAGTATAAGAAGAACTCAAGCAAGATGGCTTTCAAAATGGTTGGTTTGTGAGAAAGTGAGAAAGAAATTTTCCTGCAGGGCAAGCTTTTCTTTTTCCCTGAGCATTTCACGCTGAACGTCATTGGAGAAACGTGCACATCCGAGCGCCTTTTGCTCCAACCTACAAGAAACACTGGTCGTGAAAAGAAGTGTTCTACCGTGTTAGATCATCCATATGAAACTCGTCCAAATTTAACGAGAAGACGGTGGTTTTTCTTAGGTTAAGGGTGGCCTAGGAGCCTACCTCATTGACTCTATGTTCTTTCCCTTGTAGATGGAGAATATTGGAAACTTTCTGAGTTTCTGTGATGAACTGGGAGTTCCTAAAAGTGATGTGTTTCAGACTGTGGACTTATATGAGTCACAGAACATTCCTGGGGTATGTTTTCTCAATTGTTGGAGGTTATATGTGGAACTTGGCGTCGAGTTACGTTCCCTGTGCTTATTAAGTGCCTGTGTCATAAGTGAGCAATACACAAATTATAACTGTTTAATTGTCTGCTCCAATTTTTTTCTTAGGTAATCAGTGGGTTGCATGCTTTTGCACGAAAGGTAGGTCTAGGACATTGCTACTTTTATTACCGTTATTAATATTAGTATTATCATCGTCATCATCATTATTACTGTTAGTATTATATTTTTAAAATTTTTTTTATTAAAAAAGAGTGACTGCGGTCTCGTGGCTGCAGGCCAAGGTCTCGTTTGCCATCTTACTTTCGGCTCTACTTCGCCTGAGAGGGTGAAGAGAAAAGAGACGAACTCTGAACATTTCAGATAAAATGATTTTGTTTTATGTCATGTGTCGATTGGTGTAGTGTAGTTTTATTTTATAAAGGCGTTACAAGTCTGTTCTTTATATATATATATATATATATTATATTATAATATTTAAGTATGGCTACTTGGGGTGCACAGGGTCAGGGTTTCCCTCGTATACAGAATTTGTTTAATTAAAATTAGCCTGTAACCGTAATTGGATCCTCCTTTGTCATCCGCTAAGTTGACTTCGGTCGTGTATCTTTAATAGATCCTTAGTTGGGTCTCATATGGGGTTATAGGCTTCCCCTACCTTGTCACCTTGAAAATTAAGTTTCCCAGGAGACCACGTCTCCGACCACATAAATCGCATCTTCGATTGCCGTGTTGCCAGCATGGTTGTCCTGATAGTGTAGTAGTCATCACACCTGACTAGTAACAGGGGAACGTGGGTTCAAATCCCGCTCAGGACAAATTTTCTTTTCAAAAATTTATTCATTAATTATAGTTTATTCTTTTTTTGGAGAATAAACTATAATTAATGCGGAGAATTTTTTCAAATTGGGTGGGCATCAAAGGTTCCAGTCTCAGCGTTAATTGGGAATTTTAGTACAATTCTCGCCTTTCAAGTCAACGCTGGTTCCTTTACATTTTATTGGATTCGACAATTTTTCCTTTTCTTTTTATAGTGATAATTTTTCGTGTAGTAATTACTGTGTTTGTTTATGTGTCATCACGCCCTATATAAATCTATTTAAGGAATTTTTAAGTCATTGTATTACAACTGATGAAGGTCTCGGACCGAAACGTTTTTTATTAAACTTTTTAGACTTTTTATTGAGTATATGTCTTCCTTCGCTCGAAGTTGTCCGTCCTCGTGTGCCACACTACTTCTCCTACCATTTATCGAGGTTTGGACTGTGAATCCTTTTGGATCCTTCTGGAGCGGCGTCACTGTTGGCTCGAGGCCTTTTAACTTGTTATATGTATGCATATATATATATGTATATATATAACAAGTTAAAAGGCCTCGAGCCAACAGTAACGCCGCTCCAGAAGGATCCAAAAGGATTCACAGTCCAAACCTCGATAAATAATAGGAAAAATATTGTGGTACACGAGGACGGATAACTTCGAGCTAAGAAAGACATATACTCAAATAAAAAGTCTAAAAAAGTTTAATAAAGACGTTTCGGTCCGAGACCTTCATCCTATATATATGTATATATATATGTGGGTAGAGTCTACCTTGGCATAAAGTGCCCAATGCTGTGGTAGCAGAGCTAAGTATTCATAAGGTAAAGAATGAAAGAGGACTCATCGATATATAAACGACGAGTCTGTTTCGTGATTGCTCACTCGTCGAGGGATTTTATTCGCGATTATTTTATTCGAATGAAATCCCCTGATGAGTGAGCAATCACGAAACATACTTGTAGGGATAATATATAGATTTAGCCAAGCCTAAAAGCGGAGCTCCCAAATTCGTAATATTAATGATAACATAAAAGATGTGCATTTGCCAAGACTCGCCTGAGACACCCCTCACTTCGTTTTGATAGTCTCCCCTACCCTACCCGTGCAATCTGAAGGCAAGTACCAACTTACGCTCGGTCAGTCACGTGACAACCAAACGGAAAGAGGTTGACCATATTCCATGGGTATGGGGCTCTGCCCCACGCGCGCGAAGCGCGCGTGCGAGCCCCGCTAAAAACGTAGTCGTATTTTTCTACTCAACATATATTGCGCTCTAATTTTATGTATCGAGCACTGTTATACGGAAAAATAAAAAAAATATATATATATATGAGATGTAAAAAGACCAATTTTAACCAGAATTTGCATGTAGGATTTGGATCGTTAAACAGTTTAAGCTTTGATTATTAATAACTATTATTATTATTATGGGCAGTAAAACGTAGGGACGCCTCCTTAAATGAGATATTGAAAAGGCGCAATCGCGTAGCGTGTCATTACCCTAGCCTAATATAATTAGTGAATTTAAGAAATTTTCAAATGATATAAGAAACCCAAAAAGATATGAATTGTGTGGGTAAAAGTTTGGCCAGTTCATAGGTCCTACGCGGTGAGAACTTTGAAACTCCGTGCAATGTTAAGGGTACTTGAGGTGACTGCCTTTTGCATATCCAGTAAGATCTTATCTGCCCTGACGCCTACAAGTTTTTTTATACTATTTGGTGTCTCTCTTGATACGCCCACTGAGTACATCGATGATGATGTTGTGCTGTGCAATCTTATAGTGTGGGTACTGCTGACGCATCTCCCATCATCGAGGTTTTCTCTTCCTTCTGTTTCCTGTTTGCATTCTACGGGCAACTCATTTTTATTATCGTCATCATTATTTTTATTATACGGCTTATTTACTAACCGTTGCTTCCTTTCACTTTGTTCTAATGTGAAATTACTCAGACAAACGCGTTAGGAAAAGCAGTACCTTCGCTGGGACCCAAAGAAGCAGAAGAGAACAAGCGCGTGTTCACCGAGCAGCAACTCAAGGAAGGACAGAACGTAATCGGGCTTCAGATGGGAACCAATAAAGGTGCCTCGCAGGCGGGAGACCATTTTGGCCGCCCTAGGCAGGTGGCTGGCGCAAATGTTTACAAATGAGGTCCATAGCGTGCGTGTGTCCTTAAGAACATAGATTTGTCGTGGTTCATGTCAAGAGTGTAATTTGTAGCTAATAACAAGACTCAGCAAGATATGAGTAGTGTATTTATACTTAGTTTTAGCAATCATTTCCACCAGTGCATTTGTTACTCCAAGGTCTTAATTGTGGGCGTAAAAATTTTTCTAGAGTGATTTAGTTTTGGACAAATAAATTGGTTGGATTTTGTCAGTGCTTCAAGTCATTTTGTCTTGTTTTTGCTGGGGTAATTTTTTTTTTCGCATTTTAGCGTTTTTTCAGTCGAGCGGTCGGTTTTACCCCTTTGACCCCCAAGAGTGACCAGCATCTAATTTCTCCTTACATTACCACTTCCGGTCACGTGAATAACGGAACTGATCACCGACTAAGAAGTCCTTGATTGTTAAACAAATTCTCCTTGTTAGCACCATGGGAAATGTATGGAGGATATGCATAATGATATCAGGATGCAAAGGGTTAGGTGCTTCTGTGCACGTGGAAAAGAGATAGCAATGGTGAACTTTTTATCGCACGGCACGTACACGTATGCGCGTCCCATTACAGCTAAGCTCGTGCTTGTTCGCAGGGACTAATTGATGATCAACTTTGAAAATATTTTGTTCAGTAAGTGAGACCTAAAAAAATATCAAGAAGTGTTCCCAACGAAGAGAAACATTGTAGATGGCGGGATTCATAGATATACTTTATTTCCAACGGGTCGTCATCACCATGGCCCTGTTAACCCCACCGTTTATTTAGTGGCGGCGAAAATTGAAAAGGCATTAGACTGAGCTTTGTGAAACTCAGTGAAGCTAATGCGCGTACCAAAATAGCGCAAGCGCAGTCAAACTGGAGACTCGCAGGCGATTTGATTGTTCGGTCTGCTTTGAATTTGCTTTAATATTCGTTCTACGAAAGTAAAACCTTGAATGTAATTTGTCTTGAAATACTTTGAAAGGTGAAAGGTGGTGATAAAAGTAACAGAAGGCGAACAACATTCGGTAAATTTTTTCTGTTTCTGTGAAAAGAGGAAAGACCAAAGGAATAGTTATGAGTTTCTTGTGGACCAATCATTATTTATCGCTGGGGGGAGGAGGGGAGGGCCGGGAGATCATTTTGGGGGAGATTATAAGAATATTACAGAGCCTTACGAGGGGATCAGGTAGTTTTATCGTGACACATCAAAACTCCACCACCCCCCGTCCTAATAGTCTCTATGGACCTTGGTCTCGTCTTTACGTATCAACCCTCTTATTCGATCAGGATTTCTCTGCCTTCATTAAGACTTTTCTGAAAGTCTTTCTTGGTTTCCTGTGTGTGTTTGTCGTCCATGCGATCCAGTAGAGCATCAATCCAAACCCGGGCGTTGTGCTCAAGCTCGGTCTCACTTTCTTCCTAAAACAAATTAATGACATGTCTTGATCGGTGAGCGATGGTGCATTGTTAACACAGCGGTTAAACACAGGGGATGCGCGAGGGGATCCATTTTGGCCGGCCGGCCGTGCACAAATTCCCCGCGCAAAATTTCCAAGGAAAACACAAGAAACAACCGCTGTCTCGCAAAATACGCGAAAGAAAACTGAAACGTTCATAGAAATCTGTAAAAAGAAAACTCGAAAATTTTCTAACAAAAAGCTTATTCAGCTACGAATATCCTGGTAATTTACCATTCTGATTATGGTTTCACCTAAAAAATAATATGCTTGAGACGATTTGATTCTTACAGCCTTCGTAACACGTAAGCACATGCGCGACGTTCGACCACACTGTGTCACATTTTAGGCCTGCATGTTGCGGGTCTAAAAATGTTCCTGTCCAAGACTGGACCACACCCCCAACGTATTCGAAGTATCTCGTAACAACATTTCGTGCATTATTTTGACGTTCCTTTATTATGTCCCACTAACATTTCCCTCCATCATATTCCTCACCGTGTTCCAGCGTTATGAGCTGAAACGTATTTCCTACGAAACTCCTCAGGATCAGTTTACGAGTGTGTTTCGGCCCTAATATTTTATTCGAGAGGTAGCCAGGCATGTTCTCCCGCTTTTGGCATCATCGGCATGTTTTAACTCGGGTGTAAATTTTTCTGGTTCCTCTGTTTTTCTCTCTTGGAATGATTTACAACCTAGATTTCATTCCGTTTGATTTGGTTCTGTTGTATTCCTAACATAAAATCAAATTAAATAACTCTCCGAGACATACCTTTTTGGATTTTTTGTTGTTTGTCGAAGAAGCAAGTACGAAGAAAAACACCATAAGAAGGACTGTGGCTAAAGATTGTCGGAGAACCTAAAACAAAAGTTTTACAGGAATAGTTTACTCAGAAAGCTCTTATGAGTGACTATGTTCCGTGATTACGCCTTAATGTAATGCCGGCATAAGAGATCAGTTTTCCCCCCTCCCTGCACGAACCATTATTGAAGGTCTTTCAATTCATTAAGGACTCAGTGAATTTCCATGTTTTAAATTTACTGAGAGTTCAACAACGTTCTGAAACCCAAGCTATTGATACGACATGGTGAACATGGTGTTAATTCAGACAAAACAGTAACCATGTAAAACAGACGGCATATTCAGTGAATATTTCCTTTCCATTTGAAACTATGGAGCTTCAAACAAGAGGTCGTTGAAAAAGTAAATATTACTCTCACATTGTCGGGCACTGCGGCGAAACGTAATTTGACCCGCTCGCACCCTCGCGTGCTTGTTCAGACTGTTTTGTTGTCATTTTTGTTTTTATCCGTATCATTGCCCCCCCACCCAAGTGAAAATAATAATCAATTCAGTAACTTTTCAACTTGTTGCCTCTGAATTTAGAAAAGGACCGACCTTGACATTATCTTATTTGCTACAAAATAATTTAAAACAGGTTCTTCTATTGTGATTGTAGACTTCAAAGCACTTGAATAAGAGACCCGCCGCTTTTAACACCGTAATGTTCTCTTCACTGTCGGAATTTAAGACTGCTAACAGTAACTATGTATTGCTCACCAAAGGATGACAATGTTTTCCTTTTTCGTAAAGTAACTTTTGAAATTTTGTTGACAAAACAAATTCGCGTCTCCTATTAAGATTTGTTTGTTAAATTGCAACCTGCCAGTAACCCTGTACTAAATTTTAAATTCCAACATGTCTATAATGTTAAAATGACTCATCCATAAAAACTTATTGGTGTTTTTGAAAGAACTCAGTTTTTGTACCTTTCTTTTCATCCAAGATGTCATTTTGATTAACTTTTTCTGGTCAGCGACAAGTTGGTCGGGACTCGTCTAAAGAAGCCCGCTGCACATGCGCAAGAAACGTGGATGGGGTCGTTACCAGTACATGATGAACTAATGCGCTTGTAGCCAGTGCTCTGGAAGGACAGGTGCAAGCCGCGCCAAAGCTAAGACTCTCTTGTTTTAGTAGGATTTTATTTCTGCGATTACTTAGCTAAAGTTTAGCTTTAACTTTCAGTTCCTCACTTATCCGCAAGTAAGAGGCGATATTTGCAAATATTATTTGTTAACTTTGATATCTTGACTTACGAGGTGACCACGGGCGCTGTAAGCCTTCTCCTTGTTGACACAACTATTTGGATTGAAGTCCAAATTCGCAGGACCACTGAGCTTGTAAAAGAAACTTATTACACGACTCGGGCAGTCAGAGGGCCACTAACTAAAATCAACCAATCAAAAGGCTCTATTGCCGGTAAATATTCTCTCAGTATTGGACCGGGCACTGTCCCGAATGGTCCCGAATGATACCGCACTTGTGTCCCTTTGAACTTCAGTCGTATAATAAATCTCTCATTAACCAAGCTTACTCGGGACCGTACTGGAAGAATATCGGCCCTCGGTCTTTTTTGTACGGACCTCGCTGCGCTCGGTCCGTACTGTCAAGACCTCGGGCCGATATTCTCCCAGTACGGCCCTCGCGCTTGGTTAATAAGATATAT